CATTAAGTTCTTTTTGCCCCTTTGATTCTTAGAACTTTTTGCCCTGTAGATTCTGCCCAATTTTTGAATGGCGAGCATCCTAAAAACTCTGGCAGGTGGTGGTTCAACATGCAGAACATTTTGTTGAATAGCAGTTTAATGTTGATTGATTCTAATTTTTTCTCTAGTAAACCTGAGTGCTATTAGCATTTTGGGAAGGACAACTTTTCTTTTTGTGAGACTGTCTTTTGCATTTCCAGTGAAAGCCAGTAGCACCCTCTAGTTATTACAACAACTGAAAATGCCTCCCCCTTTTCTAGAAGCCCTGGAGAGGGACTGTACCAGCCCCAGCTGAGAATCACTAGCTAATATTGTACGTCTCTAGTAGGTTTCCTTGTTTGGCAATGGTGTGGGGTCCAGCCTAGAACTTACCCCACTAGAGGGGAAGTTCCACAAACCCTGCACAGATCCATGTCAGATTTTATTCCCTGTTGTTTTTGGTGCTTGAAGACAGGGCTTGAGCCTTGTAGATTCTCAATAGATAATTTGTACCGGGTTGGTGGAAAGAGTATACATATAGTAATTATAGCACTATTGTCACATAACTTACTCAAACTGAACTGCAGAGTTTTTTGTAAGCAGAGGTGATATTCAAAATATTTGACAAATAGTACTCACACAAGCATGGACCAATCAGAACGTATCCTGGAGATTCTGGAAGCCCCCTTGATGGAACAGGCAACCTTTACCTGCTGGCTTGTGGGAGAGTCCAGGGGGTTCCAGGGATAGAAGTCAGGGAAGCAGGGCACAGTGAGAGATGGCATGTATTTGTTAACAAAATTTTAGCAGCTAGCAAGGCAATCCTAGAACATGCTTCTGAATATTAGAAGACCATTTTGCAGAGTGCAGTAATGTTTTCAGGACACCCTGGTGAAATTTCCTTAGAAAGGGTTCTCTTCTGGTTTCTAGGCTTTCACCACTTATTTTTCTAGAATTCCCTTCCCCTTGCTCAGTCAATGGGAGTCCAGATTATTCAAGAAAAGCTTGAGAAAGAATTGGGATTTATCCGGTACTTCATGGGAGTAACTCACAAATGCCTGTTCCTCATGAGCTCAACCGAGGTTTGACACACTCACAAAGCCTTCTACCCTCTCTGCTCCTGCCCTTGAAGCCATGACCTTTGGAAGAGTAGTTCTCCCTGTGAGCATCCTAAACTTCAGTCTCCAGAACTTGGCTGAGCAATTGCTCTTGTGGGAAGGAAGGGCTAGTGACAAACATTCAGATGGCAGGAGATCAGGAGCTCTAGAGTTTCATTCTGCTTCTTCTCTTACCAGTTGAGTAATTTCAGGCAGAGAAAAAAGTACATATTAGTGTTGGGTGTCTGTGGGCAAATCTCATAGCCTCTCTCGGTTTCATCTTCTATAGAATGATGGATCTGCGCTGACTGCTCTTTAGAGCTCATCCAGCCAGGAGTTCTCGAGTCCCATCTCCTTTGACTGTCTCTGGGTCATGGAGGTGGAAGGCTCATTCTTGTTTCGGCTCATTCTTGTTTCAGCCTTATGCCCACCGCTCTGGCTGCTGGTCAGCTCCTCCCTCACTTACATGGTTGGCACCTTCGGGCTCTACATATGGGAATCTGGGGCTTGGTCCCCTCTCCTTTGGTGTTTGCCAAAGGGTCTACTGGGCGGTGGGGTCTCCAGCCCTAGGCCTTAGCTTAGGGGCTCTCCCATGGGAAACTATGGCAATGTCTCTTCTTTCCTCCTTCACATTCACTCCTGCACTTCTCTCTCTATTTCACTGACTCTCACTCATGCTGTTTCTCTTTCTCTCTCTATTCTCTCTCTCCTCCTCTCACCTCCTTTCCTTCTTCACACCCTTAGACCTGGAACCTATCAGCTCACCTACTTCAACTCCAAGGAAACCAAAATGCTAAGGTCCCTATCTCTGTTGTTAGATTGCTGCCTTCCTTCTCTGGGCCCTCAGGAAAGTTACTTAACCGCTCCTTGCCTCAGTTTCCTCATTTATAGATGTAATATGAATTCCCAGGTCGTTGGGTTAATTAAACGAGATGATCCATGTAAAGCACTTACAGCAGCATGCCCGGCAGATGGGAATTGCTCACTGCTAGTGATTTCTTTTCTCCCCTACAGCAAGTTGATTTGGATCATGAAATACAGATGGGTGTGATAAAGTTAATTATTAATTTGCTCTGGGAAATTTGCATTATTTTTCCTTTAAGGATTTAAAAAACAGATGAGTGATTTGCTAACTTAGTTTTCTTCTTAGATTCAGCTGCCATTCCCATCCTTTCCCACAAGCACACACATACTTCAGTTTCCCTGAACTCTTTGGGGTTCCCAGACTCATTGAGCTATGTTATGCCTCCTTGTTTTTGCATTTGCCTGGCGTGTTCTTTCAGCAGTCTGTCTTCTTTGTCTTTGGTGGTGGTGGGACAGAGAGACGTCCTGTCAATGGATGTCTCAGGAATTGGCTCACATGCCACCTCCTCTGAGAAGCCTTTCCTGACCACACACCACCTCCTTCAGGAAGCCTTCCCTGACTGCTGCTTCTCTCCACAGCAGAGTTAAATGCTTTTTTTTTTGTGCTCTGTAGATATATTGTCACAGGGCTTATACCATGGTGGCATCATTATTTCTACTTACTTGTCTCTCATTCTAAATGCAATCCTTGAAGGCAGGGACTATATTTTATCTATCTTCTTGTTCTCAGCAGCCAGTCCAGTTTTTTTTTTTTTTTTTTTTTTGTGGCATAGCAAGTGCTTAGTAAATGTTAAATAAATGAAGAAGATGGAAAGATACCTCCTAATGCCTCAGTAGAGAAGTCGCAAGTCATTGTTCTAAAGGACATTCATTTTACTAAGATAAAAGCTTCTCTGTCCTAGTCTTACCTTAGGCACAATTTTAACAAGTTTTTTTTTTTTTTTTTTTTTTTTTTTTTTTTTTTAATTCACAGCTGATTAGAAAGAACAGGTTAGAAGAGGTGGGGAAGAAGCTGTTAGAGGTAAGAATACTGAAAGCAGAAATGACACCTGGCCCTCTGATAGTGATAAGAACAGCAAAATTACAAAACGCACAATTGAGTGCTCAAGTATGGGGAGCATACTTGTTTCACGTATGGGGAGCAAATTTAGGTGGCATAGGACATTCCTGCATGGCCCACCAATTGATATTCAATGGAATGTCCCGAGTTACAAGAAGGTTAAATTATACTTTGCATACTCTGCTTAAGAAAAAGCAAAAGCGTTGAAACCTATTGGGTTTTTCATGGAAGAAGCCACAGCCATTTGGAAATGACACAGGGCTCTTTAATCATTAAGATGCTTTGACATTTTAACACAGAAACTGTGTTGCTGGATGGGGGAGATTCTGCAGTCTCATCACTATGTTTGGGTATGAAGGCCATCTTGCCAATAAGCAGCAGAATGGCAAATAGAAGATATCTTAGGACATTGCTTCTCACGTTCTCCTCTTTGGAGCCCTGGGGTTTCCTTAGCATTCTCTTGTAGATGGTGCTGGGGGGTGGCGGGTGGCGGGGAGTCGTGTTCTCTCTGTCTACCACGATTAGCCCCCTGTTTTCTGTGCAACTGGTGGAGTGTCAGAGGAAGACTTTGTTTGAAGGAAATAGTCCTCATCTGAAAAACATGGTAACAGTTTTGTTATGACAGGTAATATGCATATTGGATAGATGTTCTTAGTAGGCAGTGGTTAAGGGCATCATGCAAGGGAGTTTGAGTCCCAGCCCCTGGGCTTCACATCTCTGTACTTCAGTTTCCTCATTTGTAAAATGGGGATAATAATAGTACCTGTCTCACTGGGTTGTTAGAATTAAATTAGTTAAATAAAATACGTCAGGTGCTTAGAAAAGTGCCTAAGATATAATAAATGCTATGTTAAGTGTTTGCTGTTTATTATTTAAGAAGCTCCTTGATCAAGCATGCCCTGTAGGGGGAAGACAAAGCTCTGAAAACTGATGCTATCTGAGCTTTGAAAAATAGGCGGGTACACAGCCATAAAAAGGAATGAGATTCTGGTCTTTGCAGCAACATGGATGGAGCTGAAGACCATTATCCTAAACAAACTAGCACAGGAATGGAAAACCAAATACTGCACGTTCTCACTTATAAGTGGGCATTAAACATTGAGTACACATAGACACAAGGAAGAGAACAAAAGACACAGAGACCTACTTGAGGATGGGGGATGGGAGAGGGTCAAAAAACTACCTATTAATTACTGTGCTTATTACCTGAGTGATGAAACAATCTGTACGTCAAACCCCTGCAGCTCGCCATTTATCCATGTAACAAACCCACGCATGTACTCCTGAAACTAAAATGAAAATCTACAAAAAATCCTGGGTGGTAAATACGAATTTTTTATGTTATTATTTGTTTTGTACTTCATTTTGCAATTCCTCAAAATTAAAAGATCATCAAAGTGAGAGAACAAATAACATAAATAAAAATAAACCTTATTTTGCCCAAAATTTTTAAAAAAGGAGAATAGGTAGGTTATTTGCCACATGGAGAGGGGCAGTGCATTTTAGTTGGAAGATCAAGGCAAGGAGAATGAAAGATTGTATGTCCAGGCACTGTCAGGAGCTCGCACACAGGAGATGTGTACTAAATGGCAGATGGTCCCCAGGTCAGCCACTGGGGTCAGAATGTAAGGGTGGGAGGGAGGTGATGAAGAACAAATAGCGCAGTGCCTGTGTCGTGCTGGGTACGATCTATCTCTCTTGTTTGCCTGGCTAAGGAACCAGAACTTTCTTCCCAGTAACACCTTTATTATTTATTTATTTATTTTGTTGCCTAGGCTGGAGTGCAGTGGCACAATCTCGGCTCACTGCAATCTCCACCTCCCAGGTTGAAGTGATTCTCCTGCCTCAGCCTCCCGAGTAGCAGGGATTACAGATGTGTGCCACCATGCCCAGCTAATTTTTGTATTTTTAGTAGAGACGGGATTTCACCATGTTAGGCAGGCTGGTCTCGAACTCCTAACCTCAAGCGGTCAACCAGTCTTGGCTGCACAAAGTGCTGGGATTACAGGTGTGAGTCCGGCCCCAGTGACATCTTTAAATCTGCATTCTTGAAAGGTGCTCTGATAGTGCTGTGGAGAATAAATCAGAAAGGGGACAGATGGATGGAGTCAGTGGCTGTTTTAAAGATAAAACTCATAGGGTGGGGTATGAGACAAAGAGAGGGAGAGGTTGAAAATGATTCTGGAGGTTCCTGGTTTGGGCAGTTGGGTAGATGAGATGCTGCTCATCCAGATAGGGAAGGCAGGAGGAGGAGCAGGTTTGGGTGGGGCAAAGGAATGAGTTCATCTCTGGGACAGGTTGGATTTGAGGTGCCTAAAGGGGAATTGAGGGGGACATACCCGGTAGACAGTTGGATGGCTGAGTCTGGACCTCAGAAGAAAGGGAGCTAGATATACTGATTTGGAAGTCAGGAGCTTATAGATGACAGTTGAAACTTCAGGAATGCTTGAGTTCACTCAGGGAACGAGTACCAAGTGACAGAAGAAGAGGGAGAAGAGTGGAACATGGGGGAACACAGACCACAGAGGGGCAGGCCCAGGAAGGGGTCAGTGGGAGAGATGAGGGAGGGGCAATGTGACAAAGCTCTTGGTTTGGGTAAGGGGGATGCAGAGCAGTGGTCAAAAGGGACTCTCCCAGGCCTTGCCCACCCTGATAATTGATCTGAAAAACAATATTGCTCTCAAAGAGTAAGAAGGGATTTGTGGTCTTGGGAACAGTGTGTTTTGGAGATGGAAAGAATCTCAGAGATTTTGTGGTTCACTGGTTTAAAAAAAAGATTTAAAGGAGACAGCTCTTTATTATTAAAAAAACCTGAAACTTTGCTAAATCCCAACAGATGATTGATAAACATAGAACTGCCACAAATCCCAATAGATGATTGATAAACATGGAGCTGCCACAGCCAGGCATGGTGGCTCACACCTGTAATCCTAACACTTTGGGAGGCTAAGGCGGTAGATTACCTGAGGTCAAGAGTTCAAGACCACACCAGCCAGCATGGTTGAAACCCCATCTCTACTAAAAATACAAAAAATTAGCCAGGAGTGGTGGCAGGTGCCTGTAATCCCAGCCACTTGGGAGGCTGAGGCAAGAGAACCACTTGAACCTGGGAGGCAGAAGTTGGAGTGAGTTGAGATCCCGCCATTGCACTTCAGCCTGGGTGATGGAGTGAGACCCTGTCTCAAAAAAGAAAAACAACAAAAATCAGAACAGAAACAAACAAACAAAAAACCTCCCACAGAGCTGCCGTCATTGAGGCTGGAGCTGGACAGATTCTCCCAAATGTCTTGGAGCAGCCCGTGGACCCCATCATTCCACAGGTATTTGTATACCAAGCCCTGCACTTAGCTCTGGTTGTAGCTGTGGATAAAAAGGCAGTTCTTTTCCCTGGGCTCAATGATTTTCAACCTTGGTTGCACCTTAAAATCACCTTAGAAGCTTAAAAAAGTTCCCAATGCCCAGGCTGTGCCCCATACCATGAAATCAGGGTCACTGGGCAGACACCTCAAGCATCAGTAGTTTAAAAACTCTCCAGGTGACTTCAATGTGCAGTCACATTTGAGAACCAGCTGAGTACCGTGTAGACAATCTGGTGAGCTAAAGTATTTCTACTGAACCCAAATGGTAGAACCTTGAACCTGTTCACTCTCCTCCTTTTATTCATGAGGGTCCAGGAGTTAAGTCAGCCAAGGTGGACAGAGAAGGTATTGGGCCTGGAACCTCTGTCCCCTGACTTCTTAGCCCACATTCCCGTGTTCCTGCACACTAGTGTGGCCTCAGCTTGCTGGGCGCTATGTGGCCCTTAACCTGGTTGGTCACTGGGCTTGGATGTTAAGTAAAAACCTGGTGAATGATCTGCATTGTTCTCTCTTTTCACCAAGGCTGTCTTCTTTCTCTGTGAAAAGCTAGTTGAATTCTTTCTCTAAATGGGGTATTCTTCTTTCAGAGGCAGCACAATGGGCCTCTTTCACTGACAATTCAGTTTCTAGTAACAGAGACTGTGGGGCCTGCCAGCAATCTCCTTGTGAAACTGGCATGCTCTCGGTTCTGAAAATGAACCATGGGCGCCAACACCTGGAGAAACAGGGAGCCCCTGTTTAAGCTGAGAAGGGTGCCGGAGGTCCCTGTGTGATGTTGGGTCAGTGGAGGAACTTCTCTGAGCATTAGTTTCAGAACGAAACATTGAGGACATAGGATTACTGTGAGGATTAAATGACTTGATATATACAAAAGGTGGGGCACCCATTATGGGCCAAGTGCTAAGCTAAGGCTCTTGTATACACAATATGCAATTTAATCCATAGGATTAAATCAGCAAATTCAACGTTATAGATTGTTATCCCCAGTTTATAAATGAGGACACTGAAGCCCAGAGAAGCCAAGTAACATGTTCAATGCTACACAGTCATTGAAGGAGCTGGTCTTGGGCTTCCCCACAGCGAGAGGTCAGTATGATGTTAGCTATAGCATTTTATGAGACATTGTTTGGAATTCAGATGGGAGGAAAGAAAAGATGGCATGAGAGGTAAGATTTTTCTTATTACTTTGGAGACTGTGCTCAGAACCATGATGTTTAAGCTAGAAGCTGAGGAGTTTCATACTGGGAACAGGGAGAAAGAAACTAATTTTTGCTGGGTGCAATTTAAGCACCATTCCATGCTTGTTTTGTGTACATTATTTAATCCATAGGAATAAACCGTCAAGGAAGGTGTTGTGGATTTTTATCCCTATGTTGGAAATGAGGATTCGGAAGTTCAGAGAATGTAAGCAACATGCCCAGTGTCACGGAGCAAGGTCAAAACCAGACTTTGGACCAAAATCTCTCTGGCCTTGGAAGCATCTCCCCTTTGGCCTGGTCTTTGCTCTGTATGTCTTGTTGACCCCAAAGAACAAAGTCATCTACATGTTTCAGTTGACTTTTTAACTTCCTTATGAATGTCATCCCCACTCCCAAGTTCCCACAATAATCAGAAAGGGTGGTTTCCTAGGCTATTTCCTTGGTAGTCAGATTGGGAGGAGAATGGCACTAATACTAATACTAATAACATAATTATGAGTAACATTGATTGAACACTATGTTCCAAGTGCTCAATATGTTCTGGACACTGTTGCAAGAACTTGACAGATATTATCTCATTTAATTCTTACAGTGCTCCTATATCGTTAGAATAGTTACTCTCCCCATTTTTGTACATGGGAAACTGTGGCACAGATCAGTTGACCAACTTGTTTAATATTACACAGCTAGTCACAAAGCAGCTGGGTTTTTTTTTTTTTTTTGAGACAGGGTCTCTCTCTGTCTCCCAGGAGTGCACTGGTGTGATCTCGGCTCCCTGTAACCTTTACCTTCCCAGTTCGAGAGATCCTCCCACCTAAGCCTTCTGAGTAGCTGAGACTACAGACATGCACCACCACAGTCAGATAATTTTTTGGATTCTTTTGTAGAGACGGAGGTCTTGGTACGTTGCCCAGGCTGGTCTTGAACTCTTGGAATCAAGTGATCCTCCTGCCTCGGCCTCCCAAAGTGCTGGGATTATATGCAGAAGTCACTGTGTCTGGCTGAGCCAGGATTTTAGCCATGTGGTGAAACCCAGAAATCACTTGGTGGAACTTGCCGGAAGCAGATATTGTGGCCCTCATGCCTCTTGACCTGGTTTGCTATTGGCAGCTGCCAGGTGTTTGATGAGGGAGTGCTCCCTGGGGAATGGCTCTCCTTCCTCTTGATTTTGAGGGAACAGGTTCCTGGTGTGTGAGTTTCAGAGTGAGCTGGAGAGCAAGGTGTCTATTTCCTGCCCGTAGATGCCCATGGACTTGGTCTCCATTTAACTTGGCTCCAACCTGCTCCCTCAGCTGAGCTCTCAGGCCTGCCACATACCCTGCCCGCTGAGAACCCAAGACAGAATTCTCTGCCTCCTTTAAGGAGGGGGGGCTCCCTTCCCAGAGGTGGGTCTCTTGTGCTTTCTTGCCTTGTTCTCATGCCACACTCTCAGCTTCAGGCCACCTTTGTTTCCCCAACTTTGGATCTGGGAGTCAGATCCGCATCCTGTCTTGGATGGCGGGAGATCCCTTGTGTGTCTCTGACCTTGGCTACCGTATTTTTACATTTGAACAAAGTTAAGGTGGGAGATTAACTTGCTCCAAAGCACACAGTAAGAAGGCACAAGTAAAGAAGTAAGCCAAGCTAGGATTTGAGCCCAGGTCTGTCTGACACCAAAGCTCCTAGCCACTATCCTTTGTGGCTTCCCATGTTTTTTTTGCCCTTGTCTCTCTTCATTCTGAAGTCCAAAGTGTCACATGAGTGGGGGAGCACTTGGGTCATTTGGGTGAGGGCGGCGGCTCCTCTACTTTCCATTTTCTCCCTGCCCAAACTGTGTGCCCTGTGAGCTCTCAAATCTGGAACCAGGGGGATCCTGCACAGTTTGTCTGGGGCAGAGTGTAAATAAGTCACTTGTCTTTCTCTCTGAGCATGACAGGAACAGCTCTGTCATGTGTGAATGTGTGTGTACATCTGCGTGATCCACCCTCCGTTACTTGCCCCTCCTGACAGATAGCTGATCCTGTGCCTGAGTTTGACTCGTTTTGCATCAAAAACAACCCCAATCTGAAGGTAAGAAGTCATCCAAGCAAGATTGGAGGGTGAGATAATGTGGCACTTGCAACGAGTTCATTTTAACTGGTGACTTTTTCCACCTGAGTTCTCATGTGTGAAGAGTGAGTCCTGGTGAGGGGAGGCATGCTGGGGGAAGCTAAAAACACAGCCAGGCTCTCTGGGAAGAGCTGAGGTCTTCCTACTGCAGATGCTTAGGAGCCCAGCCCCTGGAGCAGTTGCAGAGGGTGGGGCTGGGCTGCTGGTGCAGACCTCTGGGTACCATGCATTCTGTAGTGAGCATTTATCAGGCTCATGGCAGCTAGCTTTTTTGAATACCCTTCTTCAGTTTGTTTCTGCTTTCTGAGTCTTGGTTCCCCAACAGAGGAGTCAGACTCATGTCTTCTCAGCCCCCTTTACAGCTGGGTCGGGGAATAGGACTGAGACTCCTTCAATAAGATACCCCCAAAGCGGAATTTGATT